CTCCCCAAAGCCCCAGTAGATAGTTGTACGTCATAGTTGCACATCCTTCTAGTTGCTGTATGTGGGATGCGGCCTCAGCATGGCCGGACAAGCAGTGCATCGGTGCGCGCCTGGGATCCGAACGCGGGCCGCCAGTAGCGGAGTGCGCACTTAACCGCTAAGCCATGGGGCTAGCCCCTGAGAGTTTTGATAATAATGAAAATTTAAAACTTCTGTATGTCAAAAAATATATAACAAAATATAAGAGCATACATTTTGGACAAATTCTTGCCACATATATGACAGAACAAGTTGAAATCCTTTGGAGATGAATGAGATTCATATCATATCATATCATCAATAAGATAGACACGTCAATTTTAAAAAAAGATAAAATACAGACTGTTTGCAAAGCAATAAATCCAAAATGGCAAATAAACACCTGAAAATGTTTTCAAAGTTAGCTGTAATCCAAGAAATGCAAGCTTAAGTGATGTGATGCTCATTTGCCTCCTGGATTAGCAGAGAGATGCCTGGTGATGGAGATGGTGCAGTAAAGGAGCCTTGGTACCTCCTTTCTGGAGGGCAGTTTTTGATATGAATCAAGAGCTTTCAAAACATCCCAACCCTTTGATCCAGTCATGCTATTTCTTGGAAACAATTCTGTTCTAAGGAAAATATCAGAGTTACGTATAATATTTTTACATAAGAAAGGTCATCATAATTTTATTTATAAAAGAGAAAAATTAGACATAATCAAAACACTTAACAGTGTATAGCTAAATAGATTCTGATATATCCACATGAGGAATATTCAACAACCATGTTAATTATGTTTTTTTGAATATTATTTAATGATATGAGAAAATGCTCATAACATAATGTTAATAGAAGTAATAATGAAACTTGCACCCCATTAAACACACATACAATAGAAATAGGATGAAGGAAATAGCCCAGATGTTAGTAAATACCTCTAGGATTTGGGGTGACTTTTATTTCCTTCTTTATACATTTCTGAGTTTTTCTGAATTTTCTACAATGAACATGTATCCTGTATCAAAAAGAGAGGGGTTTCGTTCTGGTTTTTGTACCTGAAGAAATCTTCTGTATTTGCTGTTCCTTTGAATCGCCACTGATCCATGGAGATTAATACGAGTCGGGATTGAGGGAGAAAATATTAGGAGAGAAAACTAAAGAGGTTTTCCCTGATCCCTCAAACTATACAAGCCACCAGCACCTGCCTGTAGCTCTGTGGTCATCACTTCACCAAACAGGAGCTGGAAGTAAGCGCTTCCTTGTCTGTCTGTTTGCACCCCAGTGTCGCCTCTACGACCTCCGGGCAGACAGGGAGGTTGCCATCTATTCCAAAGAAAGTATCATATTTGGAGCATCCAGCGTGGACTTCTCCCTCAGTGGTAAGATTTTATTTCAGAAACTTTCCCAGGACCATAAAACAGGACCTGGAAGAAACCCAGCTCTCTACCGAGCTTCCCCTCAGCTAAACTTCCTGGGGGCCGACATGCTAACTAGTCTATTTTGTTTGAGCCAGTTTTCCTCCACTTGCTTCTTGACCCCCCACTTCACCCTGCCCGCAGCGGCTTCCCCCAGCCCATTCCCTTCGGGGGAAACGAAGGCTGTGCCCACGCAATGCTGTTCTTCAAGACAGTGATGTATGGAAACTTCACATCTGCAGTCCCTGTAGGCATTTCCTCCCCAGCCTTCCATTCTCCACTTCACACCCGAAAAGCCATTGTTTTCAGAAGTGGAGAGGGCAAAGCAAGTGTCCCTTTCTCAGACAAACACTGTATGACTTCACTCCTATATGGAATATAAACCAACACACGGACAGAGAGAACAGATTGGTGGTTACCCGGGGGAAGCGAGGTAGGGGGTGGGCACGAGGGGTGAAGGGGCACCTTTATGTGGTGACTGACAAATAATAATGTACAACTGGAATCTCACAATGTTATAAACTATTATGACCTTAATAAAAAAAAAAAGTCCCTGTCTCAATGCCCTGAAACTCATGGCCCCTCTGCCCTCACAGCTGGGGAGGCTGCTAGTGAAAGTTAAGGGTCACTGGACCATTCAGTTTCCCCAGACACCCCCCCTATTCTGCATCTGTGCCTTTGTGCATGCATGCTGCTACTGCAGCCTGGAACATCCTACCCCTCCCTTCTCTGCATGGCGAACTCCTACTCAGCCCTCAAGAGCCAACTCAAATGTCACTTCCTCTGCAGTGTCCTCCTTGATCCCCCTTCCTCTATGATCACATAGCACTTCACACACACCTGAGCACTTCCCTCGTGCTACAAGGATTTATGTGTCTGCCTGCCCACCACCCTCCACAGCGGGCAGCGGCCATGCTTTCTCCTCTTTGAATCCCCAGGGCAAAGCACAGTGCCTGGCACATAGTGGGCCCTAAATCATTGTTTATTGAATGAATGTATGAGTGATTGAGTGAATGAGTGAGTGAGTGAATGAGTGACATGAAAAAAACAGGAAGGGAGGAACTGGTTCGATAACCACCATATCCTCCTGCTTCGAGGTCGCCTGCTGTTTGCTGGATACAACGATTATACCATCAACGTCTGGGATGTTCTCAAGGGATCCCGAGTCTCCATCCTGTTTGGTCACGAAAACCGCGTTAGTACTCTACGAGTTTCCCCTGACGGGACTGCTTTTTGCTCAGGATCATGGGATCATACCCTGAGAGTAAGAGAGAAGTTTTTCTGTTTTACTCTGTGTGTGAGAGGAGGAGTGATTGCCGTTCTGAAAGCAGAGGGGTCCGAGTAAGCCGGGATGGGCCTGGTCAGCCAAACAGCTCTAACTCCAGCTCTGCCCATGGCCACAGAAGGAAGAAGTTGCCTGTGGAAGTAGTGAGTCCCCCATCGGTGCAGGTGTTCCAGCATAGATTAAACAACTAGGTATCAGCATGTATTTGAGGGAATAGTTGGGCTAGGTGATCCAAAAGGTTCCTTTTGACCCTAAAGGTCTGATTCTTGTGATTCTAGCCTTTGACAAACCACAGATTGCCAGTCTCACCTCCTAGTAGTGGACAGTTCTTATTCTGTGGTCACAGACTCCTGTGAGACCCTCAGAGGGGCTTCAAGAGGCCCAGGAAGCCCCTGAAATTATGTGTGAAATTGTGTGTGTGTGTGTGTGTGTGTATTTTCCCGGGAAGAGTGTCCTCGTGGCTTTCATAGATTCTCAAAGAGCTCCGTGACCTTGTCAAATGTTGGCTCCCCAGAAATACCACCAAAATAGCCTGTTCGTAAAGCAAAGTTACGTTTCTTGCTTACCTCAGTGTGGAGGATTACAAACTTGACAATCTTCGTGGCGTCTCAGAAGGGGATAACAAAGACAGATGTTTATGAGGGTCTGGTTGAAGGCAGGTCTTTTGATGGAGAGACTTATGTGGGATTGGACAAATTTGTGGCGTAATAGTTTAAGATTGCTAGACATGGGGTGAGGGGAGGGAGAAGATTTCAAAGAAAGTCTTGAAAAACAACCATTTGATGCTCTGTGTTATCCTGAGAAGTGAGTGTCTTTTCTAAAGGGGGTAGTGGAGTAGTATACCCTTAGGGTAAATACATGAAAGGATTTTGCGAAGTTACTGAAACAAACAATAAAGTTATTTGTGACTTCATCTTCCTGGGCAAGAGTTCCTAAATTATAAAGTCGTGTTCATGTACCCAGTGAGCTGTGTGGGTCCAAATGGTTTGGGTACTCGATCTGAGAGTTACCAGTCCTAGTAAGGGGGCCACAGTTGCCCTGCAGAAGATTAACTAAGGGAGGGGGGCGTCAGGTCCAAAGAAGCACCTTTGAGTTGCTAGGAGTAAAGTGTTATTCTCCAAGAATGTGAGTGCTGTGTTTTGGATGGTGTGTGTGTGTGTGTGTAATAGACTTTGGTTTTATCTCTTTACACTCAGGTTTTACAGGTCGTTAACTACTAAAGGACTAAAAACTATCTGTGTCTTTGCAGGTCTGGGCTTAATCATCTTCTCACAAAGCACACATAGGTACCTGAGGATAGAATCTGAAATCATCACATGTAACTAGAACTTACTTTTAGAGGATCTGAGTGTTTATTGCACCTTAGCTTACGGGAGCAACTCCATGGCTGCAAGTTCACTAGGCGTCTCTACTATTACTGTGAAAACTACCACCCTGGAAAGAATCCAGTGTTAGCCTTCAGCACCAGGAGAGCACCTTCAAGTACAGTGTTTTTCATTTTCAACGCTTTTTAAAATTTATCCATTTTTAAGGTTATTCTAAATTATACTGGTCTCAGCTCATTCTATTACCAATAGAATTCAGCATTTACTATATCCCATATTATTTCCTTGAATCAGATTTATTTTCAGAGCACTTTAAAATCTGATTTTTCTCAGTGCATACTGTGACTTCTGGAACCTTCCTCTAGAATTGGTGATCTTAATGGACTGTATGAGAAGGACTGTGTTCATTGGGCGGTCATAGAAGAAAATTCCAATTCCAAATGTAATTGGACAAAATCACTTTTTTTTAAATGTGTTTTTATTTTAAAAGTATCTTTTTCAGTCTCACATTCTATTGTCTTTTTTCAGATGAAACATTTTCATCTATGTGACCTGTTATAAATGAAGCAGAGATACGCATAAAATGGACAGGATGTTTGGTTTACGAATTATGTGATGACGTGATAGATCACTGCTTCAGTTGGACAGGACATGTTCTTTCATTTGAGGGAAAAGCTGAATGCTGTTTGTGACACACATGCTTCTCAGAGCAACCAAAATCATTCTGTGTGGGAACACAAGACAGTAAATTTATTTAAAAACCTATTAGTAGTATTAGACATATTAGGATTTGTAGTATCCACTCAGGCTAGAGTGGATCTTGTCCATATAAAGTATCCTCATATTTATTGCACTGCAAATATAATTACATATGCAAATTAATTGATAGGTCTCGAAATGATAATGTCTTTGCTTCTCTTATATTGAGAAAAAAATAACATAAAAAATATCTTGTCTTTATTTGAAATTCAGCAGTTCCTTCTGGAAGATACCAAATGCTTTTGTTACAGGGTCTCTTCGTTTTGTTTTATTTTTTAAGGTGTCGAGGCTTATTCTTTGTTCTAGAAAACTCCTCATTCATCAAGATGGCATGCATTACTTAGGGAAATGAAAGGTCACTTCAGACACCAAAAATCATTCCCGGGTGAGGCTTGCCCTGTGGGTGGCCCGGAGTCTGACAGGCCAGGTCCTAATGGTGCCCGAGGGCTGTGTGTGCTGAGTGCCCTGGATCCTCTGGTCTCCTCTCTTGGCCCTGCTCCAGCCTGGCCCTTCTGCTGCTCAGAGAGGCCCTTTGAGATCTGGGGACAGGCATAGGCACTGGACAGGTCTGGACCTGGCACTCCTGTAAGCATCAGTGGGTGTGCTAGGCCCACCCTCAGAACTACTTTTCAGGTATCATAATGGGCCAGTCAGTCAAAATTCAGCCAGGCCAGCTTTTCCATCAATTCTTCTAAAATAAACATAATGGTTATATTCAGTCATTTGCCAAGCAAACATTTACCAAGGGTTTTACTACACAGCAGGCCCTGGGCTAGAGAAAGAAAGATAAAAGGCCCCTGCTCGCCTCTGAGGAGCCCAGAGGGAGGGAGGGAGCATGGTCCAGAGGGACCATTTTTGAGCCACCTTCTCTCCGTCCCCTAGTAGATTCCAGTCTGGGCAGGGGCTCAGGGAAATGGGCACAGAGTCTACCCCACTCCTGCCAGCTGCTGAAGGAGTCAGGCCCCAGAGTGTGTCCCATGGAATTCTCGAGCTCGGCTCCCAGAACATTCCAGAGTTTGCTCCTGGTCTCCTAGTTATGGTATCGCCTTCCCTCTCTCCCATGGACCCTTTTGTGTCTCTGCATTCTGACCTGGGCCTCCCAGAAGTGAAGGAAGACAGGGCAAAGGAAAAGTCACCTAGACTCAAGGGAAGCAAATTCAAGGTTCTGTGTTTGGGGGGTGGAGAGCGTCTTCAGTACATGTGCAGAATAGCCCATAACTTTACAATCAAAGCAACTTTACGGGCCCTCTGCAAGTGTCCCCTAGCACCCTCGCTCACCCTGCGGGCAGTAAGCCACCGCCCCTGTAAGTATGTACTCGCACAGTGGGTGGTGGTTAGGATTTATTGAAGAAATACTTGGTTGGGAATATGCTATACCATGTGGACACTCAAGGGTAAACTCCAGGTAATAAATTGTATTTTGCATATTGAAAATAATGCTGAGTGGAGTTTTTTTTTTTAAAGGACTTGGGGGCAAATCTACTAAACCAATTGTGGTGAAGGGGCCAAAAGGATGGCCCCTTCCCAGCCAGAGACGAGAAGGGTTAGGCGGGAGGGGGTCAGGTAAGGAGGTGTGAGGTGACGGGGTGTTTATAGGAAATACCTGTGAAATGAAACCAAGGCAGCTGCTTTGGAGTGGGTAGCAGGCCTCGCAGAAGTGGGGCGGGGCTGCTAGCCCTGTTCTGGAATGAGCCAGAGGCCAGAGGCAGGCACTCCATAGCCGCTCCTCTCTTCCCATCCCTTGACCTCCTCTAGGGATCATAAGTGGCTTAAAGGCAGCACAAGGTTGTAAAGGCCTTTGCATCCCAGGCTCTGGTAGTTGCTTGGCCAGCTGCCTAGAAGGTGGCATCACTGACACTAGGACTCATCTGTAAGTTAGAAGGGGACAGCATGGTGACAAGGGATGTGCACCTAGGTTCAGACCCAGCTCTATCACTTTTACCAGATATATAATATCTAAATGTCTCTCAGCCTCAGTTTCCTCATCTATGAAATGGGACAGCACTAAAGTACACCAAGTACCTACTTCAGCCTTTGGCACGTCTTCAACAAGGTTATTCCCCTGCTTCCACCCTCCATCCAAACTTCCTCCCTTCCTGTCCCCTTCCTCTCACTTCTCTCTCTTCCCCTCCCCTACCCCCTCTATCCTCGTCCCTTTCCCCTCCTCCCTTCCCCCTCTCTATTCCCCTTCCCCTTGTTTGTTCTTCTCTCCCCCCATAAGCAGTCCTCACTCATGTATCAAATGAGTAATTATCATCAGAGATTCATCTGGCCCAGTGGTTCTCAAAGTTTTTGGTCTTAGGATCCCTCTACACTCTTAAAAATTATTGAGGACCCCAAAGAGCTTTTTGTTTATGTGGATTCTATCAATATTCATTATATTAGAAATTAAAACTGAGAAAAATTGTAAAACACAAGAATACAGAAGCATGCGTTCTCCACTGGTGATCCTTTCACCACAGCAGCAGCCTCTGGAAAACTCCTGAGAGAAGGAGAGTTTTAAAAGCCACACATGCAAAAAATGAGTCAGTATTATGAAAATAGTTTTGACTTTGGAGGACCCCCTGAGAGAGTCTCAGGGACCCCCCCCCCCAGGGTGGGGACCACACTTTGAAGTCAGCTGATCTGGGTTAATGAGCCCTTTTCAAGCACCCCTGAGTGAAACCTCCCTGAGGCCATTCAAGCCTTCTGGAAAAGGAGGAGGAAGAGATGACAGTAATTGAAGAGAGGGGCTGGAGGAGAGGCCCTCACCGGAGGCTTTGGGGTGACCACAGGCAACTTTGGAGGTCTCAGAGGGACGCAGAGAGGCAGTGGGAAAGGCTAGAGACCAACTGGGGCCTGTGAACCACTGAAAATCTTTTCAAAGGAGGATATTGGGATCTATCTTACCCCAGCTGATAGATGAGATAAGCTGGGGTTGGGGTTGGGGTCTCCTTGCTGTCAGCTGGCTTCCCCCCAATCCCAGAGAGCTGACTGAGCAGGGATTTGTAGATCTGCATTTCCCAAACTTGCCTGCTGAGGAAAGTCATCTAAATCAACAACAGGTTACAAATATAGATCCTTAAGGCTCCTCCCTGGAGGTCTGGACCATGCAGGACTGAGCTGGGCCAGGAACTCCAGTGAGGGGGTAATTTGGGGAAACCTCTCAGGGAATCTTCTTGTCTCCGTGGATCCTTTGCAAAAACGTAAGGCTAAACCACTCGCCCTCCCACCCGTGATAGGAGAGAATCAGGTCACTCTTCAAGGCATACCACAGCCCCTCATTCTCTAGACGGGACTTGGCTGAGCTAGGCTGGCCTTCAGGACTGGTCAGTCTCCACAGCGGGCTATTTCTGGTGAAAGAAATGAAATTAATATGTTTATGTCATCATAAAAAGGATGCAGGCCCTCTAGTGAGGAGATGGGATCAGGAATGATGCTTCAGTTAATTTAACCACATAAATAAATATGAACATGTGAGTATGGTATATGACAACAGGAGATGCCTATCTGTGTGTGTGAGGAAGACTAGCCTTGAGCTAACGTCCGATGCCAACCCTCCTCTTTTTTTTGCTGAAGAGGACTGGCCCTGGGCTAACATCCATGCCCATATTCCTCTACTTTATATGGGACGCCGCCACAGCATGACTTGACAAGCAGTGCGTCAGTGCGCACCTGGGATCTGAACCTGTGAACCCTGGGCCCGCAAAGTGGAGCGTGCACACTTAACCACTGAGCCACTGGGCCAGCCCCAAGATGCCTATCTTTGAACCCAAGGTTACCTAACCAACACACCACTGGTGAACACTTAACTTTGTCATAAACCATGAAGCAGGGGTCACTGTTTCCAACCTATCTGTGCTCCCCAGTAACAGGCAGCCTCCCCCTCCTAGGTCTGTACCCAAGAGAAATGAAAACATGTCCACATAGAAACTTGAACACAAATATTCACAGCAGCCCAAAGTGGAACAACTCAATGTTCAACAAATGATGGAGGAACAAAATGTGGTCTATTCATACTATGGGATATTACTTGGCAATACAAAGGAATGAAGTACTGATTCATGCTACAACATGGATGAACCCTGAAAACATGCTAAGTGGAAGAAGCCAGGCACAAAGGACCACATAGTGTATGATTCCATTTATCTGAAATATCCAGAATAGGCAAATCCATAGAGACAGAAAGTAGATTAGTGGTTACTTAGGGCGAGGGGTGGGACAAATGGGGAGTGACTGCTAATAGGTACAGGATTTCCTTTGAGGTAATGGAATTAAGTGGTGATGGTCACACAACTCTGTGAATATACTAAAAACCACTGAACTATATACTTTAGAAGGGTGAATTATATCACAATAAAGCTGTTAAAAATATATGTGGAAAAAATAGTAGGCAGTCTCTAGCTATAGCCAGAATTAAAAAAAAAAAAAAACAGAAACCGTATAGGTAAGGCTCACAAAATGTCACACTTTGGTTTTTGGTTAAAAGTGAGACAAGTGAGCACGGTAACCCTAGTTAGTTCATACCAATAATAAAAGCTTGTCTGTAAAGAGCTTTCACTATGTGCCAGGAACTGTGCTAGCACTTTGCATACACCAACTCATGTAATCCTCGTAACTGCCCTGTGATGCAGACACCGTGTTACCTGCACTTTTTAGGTGGGGAAATTGAGGCTAGGAGAGTTGAGTAAGTTGCTCCTGGTTGCACAGCTTCTAAGTGGCAGAGCCAGGATTTTAACCAAGTCTGCCTCCTAACAAACGGCC